TTGCTATGAGTAGATCAGCTCCAAACCTGCTAATTGTCCCTGATTCACTTTGTTGAACTGAAACCTTCTGAAGGACATTTCTCAACAACCCAATCTGTAAATCTTGTTAGGCCTGATTAGATTTTTCCTTGACCGTAGATATTTATATTAAGGAGTACTTGACCACTCTGTAGGCTTGGTCCTTGTGCAATATTTCTCAATAGCTAGCCTAAAATGTTAGGGCAGGGGAAGCATGTCAAAATAAACTACTCTGTATACAGCATTATGAATTATTACTTACATTTAAATAGAAATTTTACAGCTTTCCTTCACTGTCATAAATGCTCACTGGTAAATTACCACAGTTTTTCTGCTTTCCCTCAGAAGTGACCATATATAATGCCCATGTTGTTTTCTTAAACCATTTTAGACCAGTGTACTAGCGAGTACCCCACTAGGTTCTACTGAATTAAATTTCACTGAAAATTATTTATCACACACAAATAGCCTCTGTTTGATTTTTATTAACATTATATACAGCTAAATTACTAAAATAAGCTAAATCGTCCAGATTTTCACTTTTTCCACAAAACAATTACCAATTCACTTTCGCTTTTGAGCAGAACCAGATGAAATTTGAAGACTAATACCATTTTGAACTTGAAAGCTGCACAGAGCGTAGGGATGAATTGTGCACTGATGACATGGAGGAAAACCATGAACCAAGCTGCCAGAGGAATGGTTAAACCAAAGAAAATGTGTGAGAAAATACTCCAGTGTATCAGAGAAGTGGAGGAGAAATGGCACTGGTGGAGTGCAGAAGGACGGCTGTACATGGGGATGGGTATCTTCAGTCAGATGATACGTGTGTATCTAACAGGAATTGAGTTGTCATTCCTCTCCTCTGATCGATATGCCTAGTCACATTAACATTACATTCTATAGTGTTATTTTGTTTTCAAAGAGCTCAAAACGTTTAATTAATGCTCAAAATACTTATTGATATCCCATTTCCCCAAATGGAATACTCACGCTTATCCAACATCTTAAAAAGAGCAACTTTTCAGATGAGAGTAGACCCCCACAGAAGTGTCAGTACAGGGTTTCTACAGAAGCAAGCTGAGTATCTGAGAGGAATTAGATAAGCGTGATAGACTTCAACTGAAAATCTTAAAGGGAATCACATTTTAGGGTGAGATAATAAGGTCATATCTTGCTCACAGGAAAACAACTCACTTGTTGATTCTGATACTTTAGGTAAGTGATTTGTTTCCAACCAATTATTTGGTAATCCATACAGAGAGTAAATAGTGGGCTCATTTTAAATTTCCATGAAAGTCAGTGTGTGGTATTTTAAATGCTTGGCCCAAGTTCTGTTAAGTTTATGGAGAAACTACAAATTTTTTAAATGTTTGTTTTGTTTGTTTCTTCTGAGGACAGCTGAATAATATTTTAAAATTCTAAAGGGGATCCAGTTGGCTCAAATATCATCACAGTTTTGATTTAAATATTCATAAATGCCCAGATATACAACTAAATGAACTGTTACTTGGATCGAGCCAGCTGCTAAAGATTTGTTGCAGTCCCAAATGTATATCCGTTTAGAACTACCACATGGGTCTGGAAAGGACAAAGCAATGTAAACACTGGTAACTGCAAGGGTATCAATCTTCCTTCCTACATTCTGTCCTGATCAGCAGTGGGGAACCTAAGCCACAAATGTTTACCAAAGTGAAAAATCACTGAACGGTTATGTTCAAATCAAGGATCTGTTTCCAGTTAAGAGTAACAGAACCAATACGATCACCTTATCCAAACTGATGCATAAGAAGGTTAAAAGTTCACGTATGTCTATATGTACTGAATTTAAGTTCAAGGTTTTAACTAAAAGTAAAAGTGTTTATACAGTATTTTGTATTGACAATTAATAGGTACAGATAAGGCATTTTATATTGTGTCTAATATTGACATTTATCATTTTACTGAAAACTTTTGATATACATGTTAGATTTTTAATAACACTTTAATTATAAATCATGTTATAATTGTAGTTAATCTTATTTTTGAGTACTTGTTATATAGTAACAAGTAATACTGAATATTTACTGTATTTTAAGTTCATCTATGCTGCTGGGAATGCACAGATGAATAAAATAATCCTTGTTCTTAAATTAACCATAATACAGTAAGAGAAAATATGCAGGTAAATAAATTACTTGTATATCCTAGAACAGAGATAAATACAAGGTATAATTGGGATCCAAGTGACAACAGTCACCTATGTTGGAATATACCTACCTTATTCAGTAGTATTCTCTATTTATATGAATAATGCAGATTACAGTCAGCTTGTGAATGCAAAGATACATTATAGATCCTTATAGATGAAAAATGCCTCCATGGTTGGTTTCTAAAAATAATTTAGCCTTTTTAGTCCACTTGTAACTCTAAACAGGGAATAGGGAGATTAAAAACTTGTGTATATATGTTTAAGATATCTTTTGTTTTACTCAACAGAATTACTGAAAAGCTAGGTGCTCTTGGAGACTCTTAGCCATAGGAAGCAGCAGATCTGGCAGTACTGTGCAGCAGATTTGATTAGTATAGATAGAAAAAAGTAATCAGGCCAAAAAAGTCAATCTTCTTTATTCTTCTCTACTTTTCATTTAAGGTTATCATTTTTATAAAACACTATTTTGGTACTATGCAGATCAAAATGTGTTTGGATAGTTTGCATAAATAAGATTCAGTAAATAACCTGATTTTCTGGGAATTGGTCCAAGTGAAACCTCTAGTCTTTTGAAGTTCATCCCTTTGCAATTTTTAGGGGGAATCCAGCGTTTTTGAAGTCCCCCTGAAGTATTTAGTGGCTTGCTCTGCTAGGCCAAGTGCGACTTCAGAGCTACGTTTAAGAGGGAACAGATGGCCCCTTTCTGATGTCCTTCTGTGGTCATTGTAAAAATACATTCAAAAATGGCTGCTCGTGTCACATTAGAGCTGCTGCATGGGTTTGAAGATATTGACCAAAGTCACTGTAGCGCATCTACGTGCATCTAGATTTGGGTGCCTGATAGAAACCTGCAATAACCAAGACATTCGCTCAATTTCTTATAAAGAAAATATGTAAGAATCGTAGGGTACTTTATATCATAAAGTTTATAGGTTAGTATATTTTATATATCAGTGCAGAAGGAGGATTTAAACCATAAAAGTTATTTCTTTTTTTTTTCTCTGAGGTTGCATAAAAATTATTTCTAAAGAAATAGTTTGCAGATTTTTTTTTGCAGAATAATACAGACTTTTTATGGAATCAACAGAGAAAAGTCAGAAGTTATTACCAAAGCTATATAGTCCTATCTGTACCTTTTATATTTATTTATATGAACACATCCAGAATTCAGTCTATTTTCTCAACATCTCCATTTCTAAGCCTCAGTTCATTTATCTCAATTGCATCAGAAGAAGAGAACCAGCTTGATCTCCCCTCCTCCACCTCCAACTGGGTCAGCTGACTGCCCGACCACTGGTTCAGGACAAATGCAAAATTTCTTCATGTCGTGCTGTTAGATTGTATTTTAGATGTGGGAAAAATTGAATTTTTTAATCACAATGGTTTTTATTGTTCAGTTGACTAAATAAAAATAGCATTTCAACTATTTCAGTGCTCAAGTGGAATGTGGAAGTTATAATCTAACATGCATATTTTAAAGTTGGGAAAGAAGGCCTAGAGGGGTTTAAAAGAAGACAGCAAAATTTAAAAGACTCACACATCACAGATGCCTGGAAGAATGTCACTGTGATCTGGGGAAAGAAATTCCCAACCTGCTAGATGTCTGGTACAAGTTCATGTTCTCTAAAACCAAAGAATGAATTTTATCAACACTGGAAGTTAAGAGCAGAATATATTGATAGGGGAAAAGAAAACTTCTGTCTGAGAGAGGGACAAAAGAGGTCCTGAGTGTGTTGCCAAGGACCATGCCTTTTCTAGAGATTTTTATAGAGCCAAACCTCGAGGTGAGTGGGTCCAACATGGAGGAAAATGAGGACCTGCAAGGTGGGCAAGAGGTGGGCAAAACTATGGTCAACCAGTAAGATCACAAGCGTAATTGCTCAGGTAAAATTGTTTAAATGGGATGAAATGGGAAGCCAGTCACGTAGCAAGCAGGCGTGAATATAGAATCGCGGCTCTTCCTGTAGGGGTTTGGGTGAGCGGCTCTTCCTGGCTTTCTCAGGGTGACAGATACCTACTTAGAATATCAATCCCTGATGTTTATTCTTGGGAAGTATATGGAGGCATTGGTTTCATCTTCTTATATTTTTTTTTTGTACTGGGAAGGACCTTGCCCTTGCCAGGCAGGCGGTTATGCCGCTGAGCTCTATCCCCGGCCCTTATTTCGTCTTTTGTCTGGAGGTCTGGTCCACAGAAGAGGTGCCTGTCTCCCCAACAATTGCAAGCTATCGCATCTTCAGCACTGGCTCCTTCGAGGGCCCAGCCCTATCTCACTGCCTATAATATTTCTATCTAACTTAGCTGTCTATAACAATTGTGTGTAAAATAAAAAAGAACAAGTGAAAATTGTGAGGGCAAAAACTTGCTGAAAATAAGTGCTTTTTCAAATGCTTAGTCCTTCTGTGCTGCTGTAATAAAATACTGCAAACTAGGTTATTTATGAGGAGAAAATTCGCTTCTTACCATACTGGAGCCTGGGAAGTCCAAGGTCAGGGTGTCAGCATTGGTTCTGGTGAGCCCTGTCCCTTGAATGGCTTCTTCTTATGATGGCATCCTCACGTGGCAAAGGTGAAAGCCAAAGTGGGGTCAAAATCACTCCTTCCAGAACTTTCGTAAGGGTGCCTAATCCCTTTCATGAAGTGGGGCCCTCACAGCTTACGCACACTTCCATGGCTCCACCTCTTAATACAACCATGATGATGAGGATTAAGTTAAAACACAAATTTTGTACAAAACACCATCATTCAAACCACAGAAAAGACCATTTATGAGCCAAAGATTATACCACATATTTTACTTTCATGGTTTTATTTAAGGCACATAGCAATAGTATGAAAAAAGCATTATTGTAAGGGCTTTAATCTATTAGAAACTTAAACAAGAATATAAGAAACTAGAATTAATCTATATAATTTTCATTGAGGTGAAATTCTAAAGCCAAAAGTGTTGGGATTTTAGTTCCACAATAAAACATCTTACATTCTTTCAAGATTTAAGAAGCCACATTTGTAAATGAAGTTTTTGAAATTCTAGATTTGTTTCATGTGTAATTTGACAATAGTCTGAATCTAGGACCTAACCCTTAAAAGGCTTGTGTTCTTTTGAACGGTGCTAGTGTTTATCCTGTTATCATTCTCCATTGCTAATCCTTTACTGAGTGGCCTTCAGTTGTAATGAGAACAGAAAATGCTGATAACTTATCCCGTCTAACACCATAACACCGTCCACACTTTTCTGGAATAACAGAAAAATTTAAGGTTTTAACTGGTTCCTTATCATACTCTGGTTTCTCTTCAGTTTGCATAAATCTTTTACCTTTAATTGCACGTACCCATTCTAAATAAATGATAAACCAAAAAAATAAGAGATTAAAATAGGTACAATCCATTGGAATAAAATCAACAAAAGACAAAATCACCCTTAAACACTATTTCCCAGCCTTGTTGTAATTGGTAGAAGCAATGGTGATAATGCTGTTACTGCTATGCTTAAGTGGCTGAAGACAGCTCACATAACTGGTGCTGATTGGCTCCTTCCTACCCTCATTATATGGCAACTAGAAATTGTATATCATTTATCCCATTGCCATCAATATATGCCATACGTGTATATATTACATACATGATATATTGTGTGTAATGTTCAGATTAATTTAAGGAAGCATAAGAATAACACTATACAAAGCACTTCACTGAAGAACTAACCTCAGAGGTATGATTATCCCTATACAACCTGAGCAAAAGCAGAGTTGGAATTTTGCCGCAGGTATGTCTGATCCTGGAACTCACTTTTCAGTATGGCTGCCTACAGACTCCAATTTCTTTTAGAGCAGAGGGATTTTATTGCCTTGTTTTGTTAAGCTCAGTCAAGGTATTTTGAATTGTAAAAAATAAAGAGAAATTTTTCAAGCTCTCTCTCCTCACCCTTAAAATCTGAATAACGATGAGGCAAAATTATTATAAGAATGAGGTGAGATAACAATGTCAAGCCTTCAGCACATGGCCTGGCACCCTAGCTCTGAAACAACAACTGTAGTAGGAGCTGTGCCCCTTCAGTATGCCTTCTTCCTGCTTTCTCACCCCTGTGCGTCAGTGTCATTGTCACTGTCTCCGCCACCTTCCAGCGCTAACTCCTCTTTCCTAAAGCACTCTTCATTCCAAAGGCCCTTGTAAGGTGACACACCCATTAAAATACAACACTGAACTTAACAATCTTGCCCAGTTTCTGCCTGTTTTCCTCTGCTTTGGTTTTCTGGTTGCTTTTTAAGAGAGCCACCATTTTCATCTCATACGCCTCCCAGCAGAGGTTCTTCCCCATTTGCTGCTTCACAGTGTCTTCATTCAGATATTCTTTTTGTTCAAAAACCACTTTGGAGAGCCCATTGCACCCTGGCAATGTCACAGGGAACACGTCCCAGCCCTCCAGCCACATGTACGGGGAGAGGCGTTTACTTAACGGGCGACTGTGGCGGATGCGGCCTCCGGAGACGGCACCTGGTCTTACAGAAGCGCAGACGAGATGGGCCCCGCTCAGTGTCGGGAAGGCAGAGACTTCCTGAAAAGTGCCGTGTGAGCGGGTCCCAGAATGAGTGCTGACCGAGTAGGGAGGTGCAGAGGGGGAATGTGCCCGGCAGAGGGGTGTGAGCACATACAGAAGGTCTGAGAGTTTGGGGAATGGAAGTTAGTCTCAGGTCTCTGTGGTTCGGACTGTGGGAGAGATGCGTTATGGAAAAAAAGCTGCAGAGGTTAAATCCAAAGAGTCTTAGGCACCACTCCCAGGAGTTAAGACTTGGTATCTGAGTAGTGAGGAGCCGTGGGTGATTTTAATCTGAGAGTGCGTGTGCAGGATCTGTCCAAGGGAATAATCATTTTATTGCTTCCATAAACACTAACTTTAGGAGGCAGGATCCCAGTGTGAGGTTTATAGATGGTCTGTAGATGTTTAGAGAATCTGTAATTCCCTGAAATTGCAGACAGAATTGTCAGTTGTATGGGTGTTTCTGGGCACGAGGGGAGAGGCAGAATCCATAGCTTTGTGAAATCCTCAAAAGGTACTGTGTGTGGTACGAGGAAAGACCTGAAACCCCTGCTCAAGGGCAGAAAGCTAAAAGCCAACTTCCAGAACACAGATTTCAGGTCCGTTACAAAGAGCCCTTCTAAACTTGAAGAATTTTCCTTTTAAGAACAATTCTTCATTCTTTCCCCTGTGTTACGACACTCTTCCCACCCCACCCTGACCGACTGATGATTTGTTCCTGGACACGGTCCCACCCGAGCGCTGCTCCCCAACTCATGCAGCTGGTCGCTGTGCCAGTCCAGAGTGAGTGTCCACCCCAGAGGCTAAGAATAGACACAGTGTCCTGGTGACTTGAAAATTAGGTACCTCTGAAGGGTGAACTCTACAGTGACCACAAAACTCATTCTAATCATTTCAAGCAAACAAATTATAAACATATGATTAAGATTTCCCCGCTGACTAAGGGAACACAGAATGCCCTTCTACACGGAAGGAAAATGCAGCTAACACTCATAATCACAAAGAACAAAAAAATACTAAATCAAATACATTCTTCCATGTTTTCAAACTCCTCGTTTCAATATGTCATCACACTCCTCACCCTCCAAGGGCCTGATCGATCAGACAAGCTACAGTTCTTTCATGACAGTAGATTTTTTTCTGCTTATTTCTCCTTACTGTATTTTCCTGGAATTGGATATATATGTTCTTCATTTTTCAGTTAGGTGTGTGACCTTGCACAAGTCGATTCCTTCATCTTTTAGGGCCATGCTTTCATCTACAAAATGAAGCTGGATACAGGACCTGAAAGTAGTTCTTCAGTTTCCGTTACTTGTCATGTGGCTGAGGGGAGGCTGGTGTGAACAGATCTCGTGATACGTATTTGTTATTCCCAATTGCCAGTTACTCCCGAGAATCACCAGATAGTCTCTATGAGGTATTTTTCCATCGAATTCTGAAAGACCAAAGTATCCAGCATTATTTGGCCAGGATAGGTAAATAGAGCAAAAACCAACACATTTTTCTTGTAAAAGGCCAAGTAGTGAACATTTTGGGTTTTGCGAGCCAGAAGGTCTACGCAGCATTTGAGTGTGTTAGTGTGGTGTGACAGCATGTAAGTGAATGCGTATGGCCGTGTTCCCGTCAAAATTTTGTTCACCAAGGGCGACTTGCATATCAGTCACTGGACGCTGCCCCTTGAAATTGAAGACTGGACCACCTGGTGGCCTGAGGAGAGGAGAGCTGGATCCCCTCTGTCCTTCCATTGATGAGCCGCTTTCTGGATGATTCCCCGATAATTTGCTGTGGTGTCATCGTTGTTGGCGTCGCTGTTGTTGCTGTTGTTGTGTGTCGATTATGTGAGTCACCCACAGCTATCTCAGGATCCATCCCCAAATAAATAAGCTGAAGCGAGCAGGCCTGTCAGCTTGGAGGGAAACCGAAACGGGGCAACCTGTTGCTCAGGCCGAGAGAAATAAATGGTTTTATCAGCAGACAGCTCCGAAGATAAATACCCGGGAGGAACACTGAGCAGTTAGTTCACTGAGACAAAAAAAAAAAAGCGGAAAAGAAAGGGGAGAACAGAGAAAGATGGATTGAATAGCAAATCAGTTTGTGAGATCTACTGTACAGACTTGCCCAGCTGGGTACTTAATCTTGAATTTGTTTTGCAAATTGCAGTTGCCTAACTCTGGAAGCCAAGAAAAACAAAGGGCAGTCATCCTACACCAGAATACTCTCATGGATCTCGAGTAACCCACATTACTTCACTCTGTGGGGGAAGAGATCGTTAAATACCCCCCTTCTAAGTAAGAGAAACAAAGAACCATTTTACAGAGAGCCATAGAGTGACAGTTATATTTTTTAGAATCTTTGTAGTAGTAAGAGAACAATACCTACCAAATAATAATTTTGACCCCTTTGTGAAAGTTGCTGTTCGCCCCACAAAACTGTTTTCACAGTAAAACAGAGTAAATTCAGTGAGTGTTAATACTTCAGTATACTTCCATGAAACCGGGGACATTTTTGTTGGCTGCCTTAGGACGCGGTCTAACGGGACATTTTCTACCATTTGCTGAAACAAGTCCTGTCACACAGAGTCCTCGGATTGAATTAAAATGAAAGAGGTAATTCCAGAATTTTTACTAGTGAATATGTTTCAGAGAGATACCTTACATATTGACCATGACCGACAGAGACACTTTCTCAGAGTAAGACCCAATAGCCACGCCTGCCCTCCACCGTTCGCTGCTGGATTTACAAGATCGTCTTCAAACATACTTCCTTTAAATTTTTATATTAGAAATTTTAAATTAGCTGAACGAGCTGGAATGACTGAGATAATGAGATTTGTTCTTAATTTTTAAATTTCAACATTTTTCCAAAAGCTCTTCAGGTTTACTTTGACAGAAACCGTTAATATCAAAGAGACAAGTAAGTTGCCCTCGGAGAAAAATTTGTGCAATTTAAAAGAGCTCAAGTGTTCACTTAGTTTTCTAACAGGTTTATAGACATAGTTTGCAACCTCTTTGGTTTAATGTATCTGCTGGTGATCCATGGGCAAGATATAAAATCAGTGAAGTAACAAACTTGGGAAAGAATTTTTTGCCAGATTTTTTGTACATGAGCCCTGCTTGTAAAAAACAAACCATAAATCAACCATGCACACACAGTCACTTGTGAACATGTTCTGTCTTCAGCTGAAAGTTTCGGTTTTTGTGGATGATCTCCTCATATCTTTAAGACCATTCTAGAAAATAAATTTCTCATTAGTAGTACAGATGTAAAACTTAAAAGTGTAGGTAGGCAGCAGAATTTTCCACAGGCATGGAATTTTGATTGTTTGCTGTGGGCTAAGATTGCCCACAATCCAGAGTGTAACTATGTTTTATTCTAGGAGATGAAAACCTTAGCAGAAACATCTGTGTACAAATGATCTTAGTTCCTTAACTTCTACTGTAATGCTTGGCACTTAAATTATACTCAGGTAATATCTGTTCTTTAAAAATAAGTGAAGGAACAGAACTCATCACATGCAAAGATCTATATTAGCATTTTCCTTATTTAGATGTTGTTAAAAATAACAATTTAAAATTTTTGAAAAGCATTTCAGTTATTGCACCTGGATTGTTTTCTGTAATATAAGTGGAGGTTGAATGCCTTTTTAGGGATATGATAAAAGGGACTTGGAATTTGAGCTAGATGAGATAGATAGATAGATAGATAGATTAGATAGATAGATGAGATAGATAGAAATGAGTGGATAGATGGATGGATGGATGGATGCTTTGTTATAAAGACAGTTTAGTGTCTATGTATAGTTTGAATCTAAAATTCTTTAGAGTGTAGTAACTCCATCAAAAACATACTACCTCTTTATAAATGACAGAAAGGATGGAGAATTTTTTTAAAGTATTCATATGAACTTATTATAAGATCTTCAATACTGATTTGAAATAATCTTAAAATACTCTCAAAATGGAAGAACAGAAATGGAATAGGCGAATGCTGACAGTGGTATGGGACAGGGCAGAGAAAGGCCAAGCCTTAGAGAAAGAGGACTCCCAAGAGGACCTGGAAAATGCACAGGAGCACTTATGTGCAGCCTTAGAAATACTGAAACTACAATCTCAACCCTTTCTGACTGATTGGAATTGTATTTTGGGCAAATGATTTATCCCACTAAGAGGTTATGATTCTAAAACTCATAAAAATTTTGTTTTAGGTTCATGAAAAGCCATTTTGACCCATTTTTACTGCCTTAACTTCAAGCCTAGAAGAATGTAGGATGTATAGAAGATGTTCAACAATTATTTGTTGAATGAATAAGAATAAAATAAAGATAATAATACTAAGGATATAGATTGGTTATGGGTGGAAATTATTAAAAGAATGCAGATATGCTTTCGTTGGTAAGGCAGTCCTGTGCAGGATAAAAGCAAGAATCAAGAAATTTTAAACACTGGTCTACTGCTCTAAGTGACTCAGTTAATACTCCAGAAAGACTTCAAAGTCTGGAATATACATACACTCACACACATGCACAGGCATTTGAAAAACTGTGAGTGTATATTAAATGCAAATTACATTTGGGACAGGGCCTTTCTCTGCCCTGTCCCAATTACAAAATGATAAGGTCAGAAACTTACTTTGTGGTTTAAGATTGAATACTGTAATTTTATAGGTGAAATCAGAAAAAAATCTGTAAAATGAAAAATTAATGATTTAAGCCCATCATATGACTGTTACTTGTAGCCCAATTAATGCTTCACTCAATTCTCTGAAAAGCTGTGTTTCCTGTCACATACAAGACTGTATCAATAGAGATCATAGAATAAGTAATTTATGGCCACAGGTACATCGTCATCTACAGGCTGATAATGTACCATTTTTACTATGACCTTCATATGCCCTTCAGGAGGAATGTGCTGGAGGACAAACAGGCAATCTCTATGATGTCAAGTTCTGCATGGCTGAGTGAGGCAAAGAGGGAGGCCGACTGTGGAAATCAGAGCCAATGCATTGGAGCATATTTTTCTTTAAAAATATTTTATGTACTAAAGTTTGCACAACATCTTGGCAATGACAGCAAGCCTGTGAAGGAGATGTTTTGTGTTTCACAGCTAACATAAGAGCAAGAGAATGTGACAGCAGCTAAACAGTATTTCAATCATGAACTAAAAGAATGCAAGTAGCACGGTACATGGTAGGACGTATGGCCTAGAAGCTACGCAGTTAAAAAGTCTGCAGAATTCCCAAAGAGAGCTTACCTCTTGTTCTTTCCTCTATACCAGGAACCACCCTGGCATTAGCTTCAAATTTGGACGGCCCTTAGCACTGTAGGGAAAGGGTCCTGGAATAGCTTTTGGTATTGTGAAGGGAAGAAGCTAAATTTGGCACAGTCCATCTGTTTGATTAGAGAGAAAGAGGCGTAGCTAGGTTTTCTTGGCATGCAGAGCTTTTATAAATCTTAGGGTGGCTTCCCAGATTTCTCTGGAAATCACTTTGAAGTTCACCAATTCTGCCAATATTGAACACTGTCCATATCTTTTCTGTCTCATATTGTTTTCCAATTTCAGACTTCTTTTTAGTTTCTAGGAAATAGAAAACTGACTAGTACATACTAAGCATTCAGTGAACCTGTCAAATGTAGTAATGGACTGACGAATGCATAGACCTGGCTCTTAATACTAAGATACTAGTAGGTATCATCCATAGTGAAAATTATCCTGCTTTGTTTTTACTATCATAACTTTAAGTGTGTGTGTGTGTGTGTGTGTGTGTGTGTGTATCTTCCCAGATAACCTATAAACTGGGAATCTCAAACTCAAACGCCTGCATAATCCAGATAAATAATAGAAATGAGGAAAGAGGATGATTACAAGAAAATAAGTAGTGAAGATTGTTGCCAGGTGGAGAGCACAAGGACCACCCCGTGCTGAAGACAGACAAGGACTAAGTACATCACATCGACACTCCCAATACACCTACAGTCAGAGTTTCTTTTCTGGGTACTGGGAGTCGAACTCAGGACCTTGTGCTTGCCAGGCAGGTGCTTGTGCCACTGAGCTATATCCCCGAAGAAGTGTGAGCTTCTTCATGAGGAAAATAGTCTCTAAAACATCCCTGTAATATTAAAAAGTACAAAAAGAAGTCAATAATAAAAATAGTAACAGTTAATACTAAAGTGTTGCGGAAGTATTCTATTTTAAGGTCATGTGTTAGGTTTCATGTCCCTGGCACTATTATAATCTTTGCCTGTTGTAATTTTGTGTTATTAGTAAAATCACCCTCATTTTGCATAGAGGAAGCAAAGGCGTAGTACTTGGTAAATGTGCACTGGCTACTGTATTATTAAGTAATTGGATGCTTAAAAGCAATCAACTTAGCAACGAGCAGATATCAGAGTCCTGAGCTGCTCCTTAACCCGTGTAAAAGAAGAACACACCGCAGGACAGCGCACTTTCTGGCATCTCCAAGTAGAAGAGTGAAGGTGATCCCGTAACTCCGCGGACGCTCACGATCCGCACATAAACCGAGACCTCTCCTTATTGATGGAGTTAACAGCACAGCCGCCGCTCTCAGCAGGCTGTACGGCCTGTCTCCTTCCGCTCACGAGGAGAGAAACAGAACTGGACCGTTGCTCCTGTATGTTGAAAAGCATCAGCGACAACGAGCAGCTGTCGTTTATTACTTACCATCTGCTGCGCATTAATTATGTCCTTGACTTCCTCCAGGGAGCCCACGCAGTCCCTAGGCTTGCCGTGCCCATTCCGTAGATGCGCAAACTGAAGCTCGCTGGGGTGAATTAACTGCTACTGCGTTACACAGTTCGTGAGGTCCAGACCGGGAACATGAACCAGAGCGGGCCAAAGCCAGTCTCTGAGCTCGTACTTCTGTCTACACGGTGGCCACGCGTGAAAAGCCTGAAGTCTTTTGAATTTTTCTACCTATGTGTGTCAACCATTTTTTCAAAACATAAAGTCCCCTTCTTAAAGTCTAGCATAAAGCGCCCGAGTCCGTAGACCCGACGGCTGGGGTTCTGGTTGAAGAGGGGAGCGGAGGGCCCGCCCGGCCGGCGCGCGCTCTGTCCTGGCCCCTTCCTCCCGGCCCGCCCTCCTGCCCGCCCCGAAGTGGACCGTACACCTCGCCCGTGTGTCCCTCCACCTGCGCCCCGGGACACTCGGCTCCCGGACCTTCGCCCGCGGCCCTCTGGCCTGGCTGGAGGGCGGGCTCCGGGCCGCGTTCCTCGCGCCAACTCTTTCCCGGGTCCTGGCGGTCCACGTGGAAGGCCCTGACTGGTCAGGGAGGTGGAAGCGCTCTGGGACGACAGCTCCTTAAACTGCGGAGGGCCTGTGTCCCAGAGGTGAGCTGCCGGCGGGCAGGCCCCCGGCCCCACGTGCCCGCTCCTTCGCCTGACCGAGGGCGCTGGGCCTGGCCGCGAGTGCCGCGCACAGAGCCGCTGCGACGGCCTTGGAACGAGAAGTCTGCCTCGTCCGGCGTCCTGTCCCAGCTGAGAGGCAGCGTCGTGCGGTGACTGAGCAGGGATTTTGGTAGTCGGAGCTGGCTTTAAATCCCCCTGGGTTGCTGTAACTACGTGATCTCTCTCAGCTCAGTTTTCTCATCTCGCTATATTAGAAAAATAAGACAAATGCTTGCTCACGACTGTGGGTAGCGCAAAGCCTCACGTCCAGGATTATTTTGTGTCCCTTTGCTTTTCGGGCAGCCGTGAGCGCTGCAGCCCAGGAACTGCTGAAACAAAGCCACGTTTCCTACATGTCCGAGCTTCGAACTGTTTTCAAAAGTTCATCAGATAACTGAAGAAAGTGGGATAAAGGGGAAGAGAACTTCCAAAACTGGTGTACTTACCGCTTCTGCTCATCAGACGTCATGAGAGCTGCTTTTCCTTTTTTTCTCTTGTAAGCGCACGGTCCTCCTGGGAAACGAGAGTTAGGTTTTCTTGTTTCCGGGTTTCTCCAAGTGTGTTCTCTAAACCAGTGAGCTTCACAGCCACCCGAGCAGGCAGTCTGATTTAGAGCCTCAGCCTGGCTGGAGCAAAGTCAGGGCAGCCGCATAATGACTTGCTTCCCACACGATTGCCGCTAAAGGGTAAGGACCTTTGACTCTGTGTGTGTGTGTGTGTATACACACACACACATACACACACACACACACATATATATACACGCACAAATACACACACATATATGTGCATTTTTTTTATTTTTTGGTGCCGGGAATCTAACTCTACCTTGCGCTTGCCAGGCAGGCTCTGTGCCCCTGAGCTATGTCTCCAGCCCTGTGCTTATATTATATAATCTAAAATTTGACCACAGTTTCTTGTATTTATACACGTAAGCACTTCTCCCTTAAGTGACAGATTCTCCAAGGTAATACTTTCTAGATTTCTTCTAATCCCACTCGTGTGTAGCTCAGTCCTAAATACATCACTGGGAATGGATGAGAATACCTGACTGGGTTCAGCTCTCTGTCCTGTGGGATTGTGCTCTGTCAGTGTCTAAAAACCAGTAGTGTTCTCAGATTAGAATGGCAATTCAGCAATACTCAATATTATTTGATATAAAATATGAGTTTCTGAGCAATACTTTCTTATTGTCAGTAGGTTGGGTGATCTTTTACTGGATAATTCTGAGATTCTTTTATTTTTATTCTATTTTTTTTTTCTCTTTTTGAGACAGAGTCTCACTATGCAGTTCAGGCTGACCTTCAACTCACTGTGTAACCCAGGCTGGTCTCAAATGCACAGCAATCCTCCTGCCTCAGCCTCCCGAGTGCTAGGCTTACACATGTGCACCACCCTGCCCAGCTAATTCTGAGATTCTTGAATTACTGAGTAGGGTAAAACATTACCAAGCCCCTGAGAAGTGAAGTTCTTTCCAAATTTGAGAGTGTTTGTATAAAAAAACTTACAGGCTTTCCTGCCTTCCCAGCAGAGAAAGCTGGGCAAAGCAAAATGCCCTATGTCCAAAATGGTATTCAGCCTTGAAATACATGGACTGAAGCATCAGTTTCACTGCAGGATTGGCAATAATGCATGCTAACTTCATGGAAAAAGAGAGCCCTGTTACTCTGTGATATGTTTGTTTCTGAGAAATTGAGAGGTTTGTTGTACGTTTTCACCATAGTTTTCTTTGCAGTTCCATAAACGCCTTCTGGAGCGTGGAAGCTCTGCCGTCAGAGTCCTGTGGGAATTTGTCCTGTGCCCTTGTGTCATTAGCCTACCTGCTATTGTCGCTAAGATATGTAATTATCTCTCCTACATTTCAAAGCAATTTTCTGATCTCTAATCCATTAACTATTTTTGATCTTTAACATGATGAAATGTTTGGAATCTAAGCTTATGATCTTTGTGCTATATTTTTTTCCTCTTAATTCACGGTAGACTCCCCTTCTTTCTCCTTTTCAGGATCAACACTCTGTGGGAGGCCAGAACACAGGCTCCAACCCCAGCCCCAGCCCCTGCTCAAACCCAAGCACTGTAAGTGGCTACGTGAGCTCCCAGCAGTCACTGCTGAGTCAGCAGTTGATGGGGAAGAAACAGACTCTACAGAGGCAGATCATGGGGCAGAAACAGCAGCTTCTTCTCCAGCAGCAGATGCTGGTTGATGCGGTAAACCTTTCTCCTAACTTCTGCACACACACTTCCTGGCCCAGCAGAGAGGTCATCCTTTCCCGTTTCTGTGTAGTGCTTTTCTTTCCATGCCCACATACATGTTAGTAACAAGAAGGTCCTGGCTGTGAAAGAAGCCAACTCCATACATGAGAGTATGGGGGGGGCTTGACATACTGTCTGTCAGACACTTGAAGGCACCACAGCTTGGTGAACTGGACATCACCAGCCCAGGCAGGTCTAGAATGACCAGTGTGGGCGTCTGAATCAAGCCAAAGAAACCAATGGTGTTCCCCAGGATCAAGGGGCAAGAATAGTGGACTAAACTTTAATCAACTCAAATCCAAACCAATTTTAAAGAAAATCAAATTTTAAGAACCATTTTAAAAGTCAACTTGGGCACTGGGGATATGGCTAAGTGGCACAGTGCCTGCCTGCCTGAGTTTGATTCCTAGGACCAAAAATGAAATCAACTTGGTCTTTCACAGTTAAGACTTGGCTTCAGAAACGATGAATCACAAAATGTAAGTTTTATTTAAAGAAATTGAAGATATATTTCCATTTTTACCATGTCTGTATGCCTTTTAAGAAAGGAAGGTCGCGTGTCCCAAACCCCACCTAAGTATTCACTCTGTTCCAATATTTACCTGCTCTTCCCTCTGTATTCTCAGACACACGCCACGTCTGACCCAAACCCTTCCTGCCTCCTAAGATCATGACCCCATGTCCAAGTTTCATTCTTTGCCCTCAAATGTTTTGGCCAAATGAAACATGGGGGCAAAAGTAAACATCTCTAGGTTAACAGAGCTAAGGTACAAAGAACAGAGAAAAATAAGGAACGGGGCTATACCTCATGTTCTTGTCTAGCATGTGAGACCTGGATTCATTCTTAGCACTGCAAGAAGAGAAGGATAAAATCAAATAATTTTATACTGAAGGAGCTGTGTATTAAGGTAGTCAGAGACGCAGGATGCTACAGTTGCTGTATATTGGCCAAGGCATAGAATATGCACAGATATGGGGAAGTGATGTTTGAGGAGACCAGGAACGAAAGACCAGAGGACAGGGCTTGAGAAAGCAGAACACACATTATCGGAAAAGCAACAGAGGTTTTGTGAATTTAGAACAAGAAGTACTACAGGTGATCAAAAACTGTGATCGTTTAAATTTTAAGAAATTATTACAGCAAAAGATACACTGCCACTAACCTCCCTCAAAGTACTCAAAATACTCCCTGTCTAAAGTACTTATCCCATTGTTTTTGGTGTGTTTTTTACTGTAATAGTTTTTTTTTTATTTATACATTCACTGTATTTCTGTATCTACACTCATTCATCAACGTCTGTGGAAATTTTTGCCAGATGAAAGCGTTACTGTGTGTCTCCATCCACCTTATTCACTGGATCTTGTACCCTGCAACTTCTGGCTCTTACCCATAGTCAAAATAAGCCTGAAAGGTAAACATTTTGAGCTGATTCAGGAACTGAGGCGGCCACAGCAGTGAAAATAAGAAATAAGGACTTCCAGAACAGCTTCAGAAAGTGTAAAGAACAAAGGATAAACATGTTCTACGTAAGAGGGAGTGTTTTGAGAGAACATGTCTTTTGTGAAATAATTTTTAAAATTTAACACTCACCATATTTTTATTATGCATCATATTTAATTTACATTATAATAATTGTATAGACCCAGTAAGAGAAAGTTTATTTAGAGAAAAATTAAATTCAGCCTGGAAAGATTGAAGATATATCCTGGGAAAGGTAATATTTGACTCTGCCTTTGAAGACTATAGCACCTTACTAGACAGTAGGTAGGTCTACCATTTTAGGTGGAGGATGGACCACAGACCAAAAGGTGCAGCCTGACTGTGTGTTTGTAAGTTAGTTGAGATTGAATTATGAAATAATTACTGCATAATAAAAAGTATAAATAATAATAGAACAATTACTTTTCTGTGATACTATGGATTGAACTTAGACTCTTTACACTGAGCTACATGCCTAGCCCTTTATTTCAATTTTATTTTTTTATTTGAAGACAGGGTCTTACTAAGTTGCTAAGTTGCCCAAGCTGAGCTACAACTGTGATCTTCTTGCTTTGGCCTGCAAGAGTACTAGAATTACAAACCTACACCACCCTGCCTGGCTGCGTATGTCTTGTTTAAAGGAATGCAAATGGCATAATTTTGGAGTTCAGAATATGTGAAGAAAAATAGTGAGAAGTAGATTTCCTTTATCTTTAACAAGGACTGTGAGAAATAACTTTACTAATGACCTTGAGTCCTTTCCTAATGTGTAAAGAACAAGGGAGAGACTGGCTGGACCACAAAGTGACACACCTGGTGTCCTCCACAAATCATAGCTCTGAAGAGCCCAGTCCTCCCAACTGTGCCCTCCTCCTCCTCCTGTTTAATCCTCATAAATAGCTTAAAAACAGGCTGCAGAAGAGAGAAACATGCTACCTAAAATTGTCCTACTGGGTACATGTTTATCATTTTCCTCAGCAGTAATAATCGGATTAATTTCAACATGCTGAGGCTGAATTTCTAGGTTTTCAGGTCTGATTAAAAAGCACAAAAGTGAGTGCACACACCTTCCACGAGGGCCTGGCCTGGCAGTGCCCTCGCTCCTCTGCACCCCAGCTGGGTCTCACTGGGACAGGTGCAGAGGGCAGTGACATCTCGGTGAGACATGAATGAGAACGAAGCTCCACTTCTCTTGATTTTTATAAACCATTCACATTTCTCTTTGTTTGGACACCACTGAGGGCTCTTGTGCTTTTTAGCATATCCAGGAAGAAACAGTCTTTGATGCTACTTTACATTAGCATATGCTTTGTAGTCATTTGGCAAGCCTAGATAGGCACCTAAATGGAGACATTTTCTCATGAAAGTTTGTTGTCCTTACTATTATCCTTCCACCAGTGAAGCGCAATGAAGAATAAGTAGCATTTGTCACAATGATCATCATCATTAGCAGCACGTATTGTGCGCCTACTGTGTGCCAGGCACAATGCTGAGCTTTTACAGAATTAGAAGATTAATTCTTATAAGAAGAATATGAGGGAGGTCCTGTAATGATCCATATCTTATATTTTTACAACTGAAGCAAAACAGGTACTGTAGCAAATGATTTTGCTATTAGGGTTTCAGGTGGAAGAGATTGTGTTACTGTACAAAATTAATTAATCAATGAAATTCATGTTGCACAGGAATAATTTGAGGGATAGCCTGTGACTTGAAATTTGTATTCCAAGGGAAGGGCATTATCTCACAAAATGTGACTGTCTCCACTCAGTACTGGAGTTCGGCTTCACTACTCTTCTGAGGAAAGTGGCAGCACGGCAATTCTAGGTTACATCCATATGCAAAAACATTAGACATAACTCGTGTGAAAAAGTAGTTTAAGAGACTCAAGTCTTCACAGAGGTAGATGTTAACTCTGAACAGTAAGCAGTAAACCTTTGGAGTGACAGAAGGTCAGTAATTAGCTTGAAGATACCTAAAAAGACATACTGGTTTGAATGAGGAGGACTCAAAAGCCTGACTATCATAAACAAACATACACATGTACATCCTGTCCCTCTGCAGTTTCAGTAGTAGCAGAAACATCTAATTATGTGAGATAGATGCTTTTTGGAGAATATTTTTAGAGTCCCACATTGGGCTTAAAAATCAAAACTGTCAATTTACACAATAGTTTACAGCAGAGTTGGTTCCACATTGACACATTTAGGTTCGTGGAACATCTCAAGCTGTTTCTTTTTTTTTTTTTTTTTTTTTTTTTTTTTTTTTTTTTTTTTTTTTTTGGTTTTTCTCCGGTACTGGGAACCAAACTCACGACCTTGCGCTTGCCAGGCAGGCGCTTTGCCACTGAGCTAAATCCCCAGCCCCTCAAGCTGTTTCTTAAACACTTAGGGTTTGGGCAAAACCAAAAAAAGAGTTTCAGTAACCACTTTTTCCCCTTAATGTGTAAACCTATGTTTAAAAGAAATGTAATTCATATGTTTCTGATTTACACTTAGCTCATCAAAATTGTATTTCACATGAATAACTCGATATCCAAAAACCTCGAAGTCTTTCGAGTTTTTTTCTTGGAAACAAGTCGTAAATTTGATTTGTTCTTGTTTTAAGACTCTTTCCCTCCCTTTAGAGTAGATTTATTCTACTTAAAAGGTTTGGAATTTGCAAACCGAGAAACACATGGCTTAGGTAAGTTTGAAGTCAGGCAGTATATATTTGGTTGCTACCTAATTGATTCCTCTCTCTTTTAAAGCTTTATTTTCTATTTATTAATTTTTATATAATTGTAGTGTTCTATCTCTACCTATGCCAATCATTTTTATCTTTGAAAATAGAAGTTGCTTTGGAGTGCATATAAAATCACAGTGAAGCAATCCCGGAAACTTCCTGATCCACACTGAGAAAGAATGAAGCAGTCCTTGATGTCCACAACTGATGGGACACTTGTAGCCAAGTCACTTGTTCTCTGTTGAACATAAACAATCTTACAGAATACCAACCTCAGACGGGGTTGCTCTGATACGGGGTTGCTCTGACACCATGATCAAAGGAGACAAAACACTTTTGTCTAAAACAGATAAAAACAAGGTCACTAGGTGACCTTACTTCTCTACTCAGTCATACAGCCAACCTCTCTTCCTGGCAGCTTTCAATTTAGGAAAAACCCTCGCTTCTTTAGGCCTTGCTGGATCACGCGGTCCCAATCCCGCGATAGGCTGTTTCTAACGTGTGCTGCTCCTGAGCCACGCGGCGCCCCCAGGATGCCAGTCTCCCTGTGGCCGTGGGTAGTAACCCAAGCAGGTGTGCTCCGGGCGGTGTTTGGAAGATGGCATCAAAATATTAAGAGAATGTTGCTATTTATTGTGTTAGCTTCAAATCTCCCTTATTCTAAAGCTTCACAGCTGGCTGATTCCAGAGGAAAGGAGAGAAGGGCGCCTGGAAAAATTCCGTGCTTTTAGAATGGATCACTGCTGCAAGGGACCCTTGTTTTGTGCGGCAGTAAAGAGCCCGAGTTTGTGACTCATTTGGCTCTCAATTGGCTTAGCCTAGTGAAGTTTCTGTTTTCTCTTCTTTTAAATGAGAATAATCATACCCACCTTGGAAGACTGATAATGAAGGAGTAAAAAAGAGATAGGCATAAAGCACCCCAGTACCTAACTGGGGGTACCCCAGGACCCCCTGACATTGTTTCCTCTCTAAGGCTGCCAGGTTTAACAAATAAAAATAAAGAATACTCAGAGTTACACGGAGAGGTCAAAGCGTGCTAGGTGTGCCACAGTACAAAGCTGAAGTACCACCTCGAAACTGGCAGAAAAGTAGTTCTTACTGAAACCTAATTGCAAAATAAAGGCAAAAAAAGTAGTTACCAGAACCAAAACATTCTAGGTTAAATGTGGTGGAGAAGAATTCCTTCCACGCAGGAATTTTATTGAAACTGAAAAGGTTTGTCTCTGAATTAGCTCAGCTAAAGGAGGTCATGATTTGTAATGCAAGGCTGTAAAATTGTTCTTATATTCCCGTTCAAATAGCACATCAGTTTGCATGAGCAAAAAGATAATAGTACAACTTAATGTTTTCATTTGTGTCTTTAAGGAAAAAATTGCTCCCCAAGACCAGATAAATTCGCATCTGACAAGGCCGCCCCCAGATTACAAAGACCAAAGAAGAAATGTGGGGAATCTGCAGCCAAGTGCCCAGTATTCTGGTAAGAACCCTTAAAAATTAGTGAAAGACGTCACTGTGAAAGGTACAAAACTGTTCACGTTTCAATGTGGTGTTCCTCCCCCGTCCCATACCTGACTGTAGTGTCTTTCTGGGAGCCTTTCTCTGGCCCCCGTTGTCTTCCGGATTACGACCACTCTTGACCCTTGCTCTGTTCTTGCTTACTCTTCCCTGCGTTCACACATTCACTGCTCTCTATTCTGTTTCCTTCAGTCCGGAGAGCAGAATACTTCTGAACACTAGGTTTATCCGTCTGCCAGTAACTTGTGTTGTCCCAGGAAACGTAAGGCCTCGAAATACTACTTGCTCTTTCACAGTCACAAACGTAACTTGCACAAAGCCTCATCTTCTGTTTCCACACCTGACCCCATCTCTCCCCTTGCTTACCTTCAAAGACAGATAGTCCTGCCTCCAAGGAATAGTTGAAAAGCCCAGTGTGTCCTTATACAGCCTTCTCAAACACTAACAGTGGATTCCATTGCAATCACAGCGTGAAACCTTTAAGAGCTTCGTAAAAGTACGTTCTCACCCACAATCGCTCATATGCCACTCTCTGAACTTCAGAAGAAGAATCTCTCCCCAAACCTGGTTGATACTTCTCCTGCCTTCTTTTCAGCATCTGTTCAATCTCTTCTGTTCAAAGCTCTATGCACTTCTTCATGTTAGTTAAACTACTCTCTTATGTTTCCTACCTTCTCTCTGCTTTATGTGTTCCTCTATCTGTACAGGAAGTCATGAAGAAAATTTTCTAAAAGACAAACTGTAAACACTCCTATTTATTAATATTTTGCCCTGTTACATATATTTCAAATATGTTGCTCTGGTTTATTTAAACATCTTTAAATGAACCAGATTGTCTGTCTCTATAACATTAGGAATGTGACATATGTATATTCCCCTCTCTAAGATTACTTTGCTCCAGAGCAAAAACAGGATTCACCATTTGCTGTCCTCAGAGAGACTGAAAGACAAGATGTGCATTATTTGGAACATGGCCTTTGCCCGCGCCTTGGAGAAGCTGGGATCCCCTTGAAATATACAAATTCAAGTTGGTGTTTAGGATTTCTCTTCCCATTCTTAGGGTTATCCCAAGGACAGTAGTCTAGGGCTGATTCGATAACTCCACACTATCAGGAATCTAGGCTGCTTTCTATCTCCTTTAGCACGTGCGTGGCTTCCATCCTAAGGCTGCTTGTAGCCAACACACCACCAACCTTCACATCCATATTTCAGGTAGGAAGAAAAACAGAGGAAAAAGTAAAATATCCTCACAAGTAAGTCATATTCCCCTTGTAAAGCAGTTTTCTCAGATTCCTGTCTACTAACTTCCACCTTTGGCCAGAATATATTCATTTGGACACTCTGTCAGCAAGGAAGTTTGAGTAATGTGGTTTATCAACAGAATACATTCTACAAAGTCAACGCTCTCTTTCTAAGAAAGACAGGGAGGTGGGAAAGTGGATCGGTACCTAACAGTTCCTTCTGTCACATGTGGGCATTTTTCTCAGGGCACCTGCATTTTCCTTAGCAACAAACTTTCTGCTCCCCAAATAAGAGTCACTGTTGTAGAGCGCTTTACTTAGCAGCAAAACACAACACAAACTGCTATTATTCTGTATTTTAATCAAATTTCCCAGATGTTAATACTGGAAAGGAAGCACAAAAGGAACCTGGACCAGTTTCTGTCACGTGTTAAGAACTCCTGAATGTTAGCCGTTATTATTATCTTGTGATCTTTGGGGAAGGTCTTTCTACTGTGCTTGTTTACAAACACTGCTGCTCTCCTACATCTTCCTAGGGCATACTGTGGCTCTGTTGTTGCTGCTGTTTTAATCAGGGCATCTGCAGGGGACGACTGTTGAAACCTCTGAGTGTTTTCCATAGTATTTGCAGAGCGCGAACTCCCTTGTTACAAAATCTTGAGGTTAAAGACAGTGTTGCTTCAGCTCATTAGCATTGTGTGTACTCTCCGTTATTATCCTAGTGTCTTCTGTCTGGCTGTAATCTATCTTCATCCAACACTTCCTGCCCACTCCACAATGCAGGGCCTTGTATCAAGATTAGCGATACAAAGAGATTGTGAGAGACCGTTCCTGTTGGGACTTATTTGGAAAAAGTAACACTGCCAGTACCTTTGTTCACTTGGCCTTCAGTCTTTTAAGCTGTGTATCGAACTGTTATAGGGGGCAAGTGTAATTCTCAACCTGCTAGATGTCAGATGCACAGAGTTTGTATGTCCCAAAACTGAAGAATGAATTCTAAGGAACATTGGAAGTGAAGAGGAGGAAATATTTATTCAGACAGAGAGAGCTCCTGGGAGACAAGAGAGGACCCAAAGAATGGGTTGCTGCAGACTCCACTTCACAGAGGAAGCTTCATAGAGCAATATCACACAGTGGGTATAACACGGGGCAGAACTGTGATCAACCGGTAAGACTACAAGTTCAGCCGCTTAAGACATACTCATCCCATGGGGAAGCAGGCCACATAGTCCGTGATCATGGAAAGGACAAGGAGCTTTTTAGGAAGAGGTGAGTCAGGAGATCTTGGCCACCCGCTGGGGTGACAGATGTTAATTTATTGCTGGTCTCTTGGGGAGGCATGTAGGCCTGGTCCTCTTGTCTTTGTCTCGAGGCCGGGCCTCCAACAAATGTGCCTCTGGCCACAGTTGCAATGTATTTGCATCCTCTGTATTGACTCCCCTGAGGGCCTAGCCCTGTCATTTTTACCTGGTTTAGCCATCTGTACTAATACTAGGTATCCTCAGACTGCAGGGGACTCCTGAATTTGCAGTTTCAGACATACACTTCTCATCGCTGAATTTTAATATCGTATGTGTGTGTAACTCAGTGTTTCTCAGTGTTTCTGATTCTGTGGGCCTGCCTGCCTTTCTTCGAGGAGAGTATTTCATAAGAATATCTTTCTCCCAGTTTTGCTTGACTTCAGTCTCTCAACATAAAACAGCGAATGACTACCGACTGTGCACCGTCTGCTCGACTTAGGGAATGTGACAGTGAAGGAAACGGGCAGAAACGCCTCACCTATCAGGCACTGTTTTCTCTTCCACTTTTGCCTTTCAAGATGCTTTTCCATGATGACACTAAACCCCCAAACCAGGAATATTTCAGTGTGTTGCTGATCACTGTGTGTTGCGGGCATTCTCCTGTTCAGCAACATATGTGTCAGGCGTTGTCCCACATCCAAGCAGTGATTGACAGGCCCTGATTTAACTGGCAGGCACTTCAGGGTCCACGGATTGCCTGAGTGCTAGGTGGTTGATAAAGAGAAAATTGATACTAGAGGGATGAGCCTGGAATAAAAGAGAAGCTTAACAGAGGAGCGTGAGCACTGACCCAAAGCTGGGAGAACTCAGCAAAATAAAAAGTCACCACGTGAGAGGGAAATGGTGTGAGCGAAGGTGGCGTGTAGTGTTCTCAGCAATGCTGCAGTAGTGATGGTATGTTCTGAAGCAGAAAGCTCCCCGTGCAGAAATGATAACCAGAGCATGGGTCACACCGAAGTCCAGAGCCTTACGGAGATGAGACTTTACCCACGGGACACTGGGGGGCCACTGTGGTGACTTCTCCGATGGGGAGGATGTAGTTGAAGAGTGGGCTGCGATTTTCAAGGCCAGAGGGTAGGAGTATCAGTCTAGTGGCCACATACTGGATTCATTCACTCTCTGTTATTCGGGGCCCAGAGTGAACAGCAGCATGATTCTGTAATAGCCGGATTTCACGACAGCTGCTAATCAAAATCGTATTCTTTTGACTGAGAGTGCGGTAAGTCAAACTGAAAGATTCACTGTCATCTCTCCTCAATGACTCCGGAGAGGAGTGAAGTGAACCCTACACAGGACCACCTTGTTGTCGTCTTCGCTTTTCTTTAATGAGTAAACTGTTAAGCAGGAAGTAGCTTGGTGCCCTCCCCTGCACCCACAAGCTATCTTAGTGCTTTTACATAACGTGTTTCATGATCATTTCTCTTAAATTATTCTTGCGCCTGACAGCGTATGAGCTGACAAGTTTGGGCAACTTGCTGAAAAGAAGAGACGGTCTGTGTTCTGAACGAGTGTCATTCTCCTTTCTTTTCTAGGTGGCTCCTCTACCATGAGTTTACACTCGAACCAGGCTTTGACGAACCCAGTTTCAACGCACACCATTTTAACTCCGAATACCAGCCTGATGTCCGCTTCCCACGGGACAAGGGTGCCGTCGTTATCCACAGCAGTCCAGAACGTAGCGATGTACGGGAATCTGCCGTGTAGTCAGCCTGGCACATACAGCATGCCTTCAGGAAGGAATCAACTGACCCAGCAGAGGAACCCAAATCAGCTGACAACAAACCAAAACAACCCCTTGATGCCACGGCCATCTACCTTAGGGCCAAGTAACGGTAGCAATGTGGCCGCTTTTGGAACTGGATCTGTTGGTAATTCACAACAATTGAGACCAAATTTAACCCACAGTATGGCGAGCATGCCAGCCCAGAGAACATCGAATGTAGTGATCACATCCAACACAACAGCAGTGAACTGGGCCTCTCAGGAAGCAGCAACCAAACAGCAGGAAGCTCTGAAGTCCACAGGGGTTCACTTCCCCACAGGCAGCCCTGCGGCCTACACCCCAAACCAGTCACTACAACAGGCAGTGAGTAGCCAGCAGTTTACCCAGAGGGCAGTGGCTCCTCCGAGCCAGTTAACACCAGCCGTGCAAATGAGACCCATGAACCAAATGAACCAAACCCTTAATGGGCAGACCATGGGTCCACTCAGGGGTTTGAATCTCAGACCCAGTCAACTAAGCACACAAATTGTGTCTACTTTGAACCAGCCAGGAACTGGGTTGAATCCGACAAGGACAGGCATAAGCCAGCCGCCATCCCTGACACCCAACAGTTTTCCTTCATCCAACCAAAGTGCCAGGGCTTTCCAGGGCAGTGAGCATGGCAGTGACTTAGCTTTTGACTTCCTCAGCCAACAGGCTGACACCATGGGTCCCGCCCTGAACAGCGATGCCGACTTCATTGATTCTTTACTGAAAACAGAGCCCGGCAATGACGACTGGATGAAAGACATAAACCTGGACGAAATCTTGGGAAACAATTCCTAAAGGAGAAACGGGAGACGGTTCATGGACTCTGCGCTCTGAAAGGCAGTATTCGGCAAGGACGCAGCGAAGGCCGAACCGCTGACTTCCGGGGGGACTACAGGAGGAGGCTGTGGCTTAAAGGCGGAAAGCAGAAAGTAACTGCAGTGGTGACTGTTTTGGTTCCAGTTCTTGTTTAAAAATCTCAAACCCTAAAGTAAAACATTTGGGTCACTTTTCCCCGTGTAAGCCCCAGGACACATTATCCAAACAGAACTGTGATGTCAGTGTGTAATTAATTGTGTAACATAGGCTTCCCACACTTTCTCTGAAAGAAAATAGAACTTGTAGCTTATTTAACCCAGTGTTATAAGGTAATACTAGTTCTAAGCAACAACAAAAAGTTCTTTAATTTGCTTTAATAGATATGTGTGGTTTAATTTTTCCACTATCTTTTCATTTAATTTTCCTAAAGCTTACAAGATAGATCAAAATATTATAGGTTTGTTTGAAGTAACTAAGCAGTGTCGTATGTAAGCCAGAGTGGGTTGTAGTGGGTTATAGATTTCCCCTCTGGACCCAGTATTTATTTTTGCAGTTTTTCCACACATTTTACGCCTTCGTGGGATGCTGTGTCTGGTGAGGAAGTAAGAATGCAGAGCTGTGCAACTCGATTTTTGCTTCCGCAACCAATTTCCAAATCCATTCCCAAGCAAGTTTTCAGTATAACCTAGACCTGGCCTAATTATGCTGAAATATTGATGTACACTTGTCTGCATCAGATTTTGTTTTTTTAAAAAAAACCCTGGACATTGCTGTCACGGAGATTTATTTGGCCGCAAATAACCTGAGCTATTACTTCTTTTGACTGATGGACACAGGTCTGTTCCCAAGTGGAGGGAAATTGAGCTTTGCCTCTCTACTTATTTTGATGACCAGAGACTGCTTTGTAAGGATAGAAAATCTGGAGACCAAAACTCCAATTAAAAGTATTATATTTGGATTGGAGATAAGAAACAGGAGTGGCAGATATGAGTGCGTGCAAATCTATTCTATAGAGGTTAGAAGGAAGCATAATTGAGAGAGAAAGTCTGCCCTTCTTCGGATCATTATTTGGATGTGGGTGAACTGCGAAATAGAATGTGGCCCATCAGCAGCGGCATATTCATTCTTTTGTCCCTAAGGGGATGAGTCCTTGTCACACCACGGGGTGTTCGTAGCCAGGCTCTCTCTCTCAGGGCTGTGTTCCACATCGTATAAGGGGTTTTAGGTCATTTCTCCTCAGCACTTACAGATGAGCTAGTGAGTGGGGAAACCATGCAGACGTAGGATGGCTGCAAAAGTCACTAACATTTTACTGCTTTGTGGGGAGCAAATGTTGTCTTCAGCGTTTTAATCAGGCATACACATATTCCAATATCAAACGTCATTTAACCAAAGTCATTTTAATAAATCTTTAACAAGTCTTTAAATATCTGTTCAATAAGAAAACACACGCTGAAGGCTTTGCAAAGCCCTCTCCCAAGCTGTAAAGCGTGCCGAGGCAGGCTCCTTCCTCTGCACGGCACCAACGTCACTGGCCCAGAGTCTTTTCTGTGCTGATGTGTAAATATAAATAAATCACTCGTTTTGTAAACTTTTGTAAAGAATATTTTGGTAGAAATACTTAAAGCATATTCTTTGGGCTATATTTATACATATGTGAAATAAATATACTATCAAAAGGTTATATTTTATACAAAAAGTAAATTGTTACCTTTTGTATGCTAATATGCAAAGTTTTGTATAATATGATGGTTTATTTTTAGCTCCACACTTAAATCATAGGTGGTCTAGTTGGAACTTTTGAAAACTATAAGAGGCTTGTTACAAATTTATATTCTGAAACCTCAGTAAGAAAGCATTCCAGGTTTCATACCTTTCCTTTTTGTTCTGCTCCCAAATTCTTTATTAAGCCAATAGGTCATGTGTCTTATTTGATTATTCTGCCGTGCACATTGTATTAACCCTCGTTGCATGTGGTCTACTGTGTGTTTTCCCATTTTATAAAACAGTGTTTCTTCATGCAAAAAAGAGGAAAAATAATGTACATATAAACAATTTATTTTATGGCTCCTCCATGTTACTGTATATATCTGCCAGTACTTCCCAGCTACACTCCTGTAATTCAGCTTATTTTTACCCTAACATAAATAGTATGTTTTGTAGTAGCTATCAGATTTATGAGATAAAGCAATCAGAATGTTTGGATTTTCTTCTATCTTAATGTGAATTTCATAATTGTCTATTTATTCAGCTATTCATTAAAATACAGGATTCTTTGGAAAAAATGGTGTAATCCATAGTTTCTGTTTGTTGGCAGCCTATTACCAAAGGTGATGTAATTTTCCTGAAAGCTGAGATAATGACAGTTTGATAGACACACTGAGCCTGAGCCTTAGGATTTACACTTTAAGAGCTATTGGAAGATGATCTCCCATTTATAGAAATACCAGACGATTTAATTTTGGCATTGTTTATCATCCCGACATGTTACACAGGAGCTAAAAGTAATTTTTCTTTCTTTTTTTTATTCAAAGGCTAGCAGGCAGTTTAAGCAAATAATTCATTCTGGGCTTGTGTTAAGCCCGATGAAGAGAAATAACTCTGCTTTAAGTAAATGCACTATTACCTGCATTACTGTAATTGTACCCGTAAGTGTAAAGATTTCAACTCGTGAAACAATATTTTGTATTGTATGTAATTCCATGTGTAAACAATAGTTTTAAAATTCAGCAGCTGTTTTCTTGTATGAAATCGTACTTACCATCACGAGCAATCCGTTAGTATGTCGCAGGAAGTCCCGAGAACCATGAATAGTAATGAGTACTGAAAGGCAAGTTTTGCTGTAAGAAGCTTGTATTACTAGCAAAATGCTGACCTTTTGCTTGCCATGTTTTTCAGATCACTTAGAAAGTTGATACTAAAATTTTATTCATGTTGTATCTACCAAATACTGGGGAGACACTGCTGAGTTCTCAGGTGCTGTGGATATTCGCCCGGCCTGTGTGTGGCGCATAGTCAGACCGGGCTGAGTGAGCACAGGGCTCAGCAAACATCCCTACTAAGCACACATCCCTACTAAGCACGCTTACACGGCCCTCCCTAAAAATCAAGGGGGGTGAGAGAAAGGTGGGCTTTTGTCAGAAGTACGAGGAACCATTCCAAATTCCCCTTTCCCACTGTCTAAATATGCTGCTATGGTTCGATCATGCTTTCCCCTCTGCAAAAAAAGTGTATGAAATCATCCTTTTTTACCACTATTAACAGACCTAGTAAAATTGATATTTTGCATTATCCTTTCCCCACAGAACCTACATGGTAAGACAGTAATCAACATCAATAAAAATAAATAATACACAAACAAAAAGTGATACATAGTTCCTAACTATCTACGGACTCGGTACGTAGCCATGAAGAGAGTTCAGAGGAAATGGAAGGGTAACAGTGCCCTAAAAGACGGACGGCTCAGGCTCTGCTCAGCGCGTGGTTGCCAGAAACAGCTGAGATTTTTCATCCATTTCTCACAATTCCCATTTTGTATTTCTGCAAACATGTTTCGTTATGAAAGAAGACGGTTTGGGGCTAGACTATCCCACATTCCTTTCCAAGTGCAGAGCTATGTGGTTGATTTCTTTCAAAACTAAGTAAAAAATTTTCTGAAAAGATTGGATAGCATCCTTTTTAAGATACAGAAATCATTTATCATTCAAAATTTAGAAAATTTCCAGTTGTCAGTCAGCTTTTTTAAATCAAGCGTCCACACCCTATGCAATTAAGTCGTAAGTAGTGTTTTAGCATAAGCTTGCCAGGGCCAAACTGTAGACAAACAGGCAGTGTAGACGTAGGTGCCTGCTGACGCAGATCAAGCCCTGGAGACCCGCAAGTGGGAGGGAGAGGTAAGTGCTCATTTTCTGGTGAGAATAGAATTCCATAAAGAAAATACCTGCCTGTTAGAGAGGAGAAAACTATGACATTAAGTTATAAGCTTCACTGGATATTTATTAATGAAATTGCGTGAGTTGTTGTCAGCCACGCCACCTCTTTTAAATATGCGTCCTAAGTTCCTACAAGGAATGAAGTACAGGTAGTGCCCTAGGGTCAGTTTCTTTGGCAGCAGTTAGTACAACTAAAAACCCGTTCTATGAGAATTAAGCAAATATATTTACCTTAGATTTAGTGACACAGATTAATGAATTTCATATTAGCAGATTTGTAGATGCATGTAACATACTTAGATAATTAAATTTTAAAACCAAATGCTGTAAACTGGGCGTGGTGGTGCACGCCTGTAATCCTAGCACTCGGGAGGCTGAGGCAGGAGGATCATTGCGAGTTCGAGGGCAGCAGGGGCTACAAAGTGAGCTCAAGTCCAGCCTGAACTGCATAGCGAGACCCTGTCTCCAAAAGACAAACAAAAAAACCACAAAAAACAAATGCTGTAGCCCCAAACCTGGGTGCAGTCATGTGAACAGAGAACTGCTGTTTGTTTGCATAAATAACATTTAAAGTTCATTTTTCCAAGTTAAGTACTCTTCGGCTCCAGATGTGTGAATATACTGATACCTTTTAAATAATTGTTAATATTCTTTCAGGAAAAAAGAAGGGAGGGAGACAAAAAGAATATCCGACAGTATAAATATACAGAATCTTCTTAGAGGATTATTTCAATAAAAAGAATGGGGAAAAAAAGAAGGAAAGGACATAAACATATCTCAAGTGAACTTGGAGGAAGGAATTCACCGGATCTCTCAGCCGAAGCTTCCAGGAGAGTGCCCTGCATTTAGACATAGCTGAACCCGGGAACTCATCAAACCTTGGTTCTCGTGTCCTCTCATCTGTGCTTCCCTCCACCCTGGCTCCATCCTCAAAGGTAGCTTCTAGCTACTCAAAAGTAGCTTCTAGCAGCTACTTTGTCGCCATGAGAGACTTGCTTCTCTCATGGTGACAAAGTAGCTGCTAGAAGCTCCACACTTACATCCACTCCTCCAGGTCCAGCTCGAGCAACCAGGAATGCTTCCCTTGCAAAAGGTCAAACGCGGCCTCTCACCGACTGATTAGTGCGTGGGCCCTCCCTGAGCAGTGGTATCAGTCAGGCTCAGGGCTACTCCTTAGGCAGAAATAGTGTTACTACTAAGCAAGCCGCGTGAACTGAGTGTGGGGATGAGCTGATTCACAAAGGTGAATCAAGTTGTAGCTGTCATAAGAAATCAAGAGATGTGAAACAAAATCGCAAACGTCGACTATAGCCTCTGGCTGCCCTAGTTCCATGTGTACTATTTTTCCCACATCTGCAACTTAGAATTATACTAAGGGTCCAGGCACACCTACATCCTCCCAAGAGAGATGCAGTCAAATCTCATCTGCACGCTGCACCCACTTCCAAGTCCAACACACCTCAGTGAGGTACTCTTTTCTTCCAGGCTAATGTGGACGGACGACCTATTCCCCAAAGATGTGTAAACGCACCCGGTGCTATCCCCAAAACAGACAGTTGTGAAGAAAGAACAAGCTAGCAATAACAACGAGTTCTGTTTGGAAGAGAATCCAACATGCATATGTCACGTCCTCCTAAGGAGAAAACACCTCACCTTTCATGAGGACGCAGAGAAAGGGCATCTGAATGCCTCTGAGCGTTCAAGTCAATGGCTGGAGAAAGGCATTTAAAATTCTCTTCTTTCCTCAGGCTGCATGCAGTAATATTTTCCAGTGGGGATAACTGTCCCTTCCCTCCATGGGTCCACATACTAAACAGCAAGGGGAGCCAGGGAACTCTCTCCAATCTCAGCCACGTGTCCTGCTAGACTTCCCCTCTCTGACTTAGCATGCAACAATTTCAGTGTAAAACTGAGAATCCAAATTTTTAAGCGTATCAATTTATTTTTCATCAAAGAAATTTAAAATTTTTTCAAGTGTTCCAAGGGCCAGAGAGACTTTAATGTAAGGAATTGGTTACACGGGTGAGACAAGTTGAGAAGAAAACAGGAAATGGTGAGGGCCGTCCAGACATGACCAAAGCCAGAAGGCCTTACCACACCTTGGGTGAAAGGACAGAAGACAAGGGGCCAGGCTCGTGAAGCAGACGCTGCCGCCCTGATGGGCCCATCTGGTCGAGACCAGACCCGGTGAAGAGTTCCAGCTGCTAATGGGTAGGTGACTAATGACAGGAGAAGAAGGAACCCAATCACCTACCACCACCACCACCGCCTTGTCGTCTTCTGCTCTGCAGTCGGACTTAAGTTTGCTGAACTCAGCTGGAATAAAGCCAAGAGGTGTGCATTAAAAGAGCAGAAAAGAAGGCAAGGAATAAACCTGCCAATAAGTAGGTCTGGTTTGGCGTAACAAGTCCGCAGATCAATGGACTCTCAGCTGTCTTCAACTGCAGACCTACAGCAGCAGACAGCTTTCCTGGCAAGCCTGATTCTCCTCTCCAGCTTTCAGATTCCTTAACCTGTATTTTTCTGTTTATTAAAGAATGATGTCAAGTATTAAAACTGTTCAGCTGCAAGAATATGAAATACCAACTACAATAGTTTAAATGTGGAAGTTTTAAAAGTATTTCATTGACCCTACGAAACACGTTTGTCATAGGTTCTTATCAGTAAAATTAAGTCACAATTTACAATCAATGTGGTGAGAAAACATTACAGTATTGTTTAATGATTAGTATTTTTCCATCTGTAATGGAAAGGAGGATAATGCCATCTCTCATAATTGATAGCATCTTGTCTTTGATGAAACGCAGTATTTGTCTCAAGCAAGATGGGGATCTATACGGCAGTCCTGACCTATGACAGTGCTTCAGTTATACCATCAGATACGGAGGCTGTGCTCACCTTTCATGAGGATGCAGAGAAGTCTCATTCTTCACTGTTGTCACCTTGTAGAGACATGGTCAACCCAATGTCATGTCTCTGTTATGAGCTATAAAAATGGGAAGACAACAGTAAAGGCAAAAACTGTTGTCAATAGCAAGGCTTCTCCTTTTCACTTGGGAAAGGTCATCAGTCCAGAGACTTACATAAATTTGCCTTGTTATTCGTGACTGTCTTATACCCTGTCGCATCTTCAGGAGAAGCTGGGTGTTAAGCGTTTAGAGTTATCGCTTCTATAGTAGTGGAGGGCAGGGAAGCAGGTGGCTGGAAATGACAATAAGAAAAGTACAAATGCATGGGGATGATAAACATAAATTCAAGATACTGATTATCTGTGAAAGACTACACAAAAATATTATTGGAAAAGCCAACATGGGGACATGCATTATAACTACATTATAGTATTTTCTTAGGTGGATAAGGACCATATATGGTTGGATTAACAAACGATATCTTACACCTGACACCAAAAACAAAAATTAAAAAATAGATAAATTAAACCATGAAAATCACAAACTTTTGTGTTTCAAAGCCACTGTGAATAAAAAAATGATAATCATTGAATGGGAGACAATATTTACAAACCATATGTCAGATAAGGGACTCGTATTTAAAAATATACAAATAAGTCTTACAACTTAATGGCAAAAGGACAACTCAATTTAAAATAGGCTTAATATTTGAATAAGCCTTTCCCCAAGAATATAAATACATATACATACATGTATATGTTCAGTAATAAATGAGACATTCAGTATCACTAATGAAACCACAAAATTATGCAATACTTCACATCTTCTAGTATAGTTATAATAAACAGACAATAGCAAGTGTGCACTAAATATGCAGATATTAGAACCCTCATGCTCTGCTTCTGGGAATGTAAAATAATAGGGACACTTGAAAAAGGGTATAGAAGTTTTTCAAAAGTTACACACAGAGTGACCCCAAAACCCTATGAGACTTTCATTCTTTTGAAGTGTGGAATATTTGTGAAAACATTAAAATTGTAGGTCATAGAATACTTCCATAAATTTCAGATGACCAATACTTTACTGATCATATTCTCCATCCACAATTCTTTTGTAACTGTACTAGACACACAAATCCCAGTGCACAAATCCAGCTATTACAAAGTGTAACTTGAAAAACATGTCATTTACAATAACATTAAACAAGTCATAATCTTGAATTTTATGGGAACATACATACATATGAATATGTGAATATATACTTGTGTGTGTGTCTAGTCCAGCACCCTAATCCAGTAATTTTCTTCTAAAGTATATGCACAATAGAAATGAAAACATATTTTCATTCAAAAACATGTAGTATGTCCAGGCATGGTGGCACACACCTATTAATCTCAGCACTCTGGAGGCTGAGGCAAGAGTTCAAGACCAGCCTGAGCTACATATTGAGTTCAAGGTCAGCCTGAACTGTATAGTAAGACTCTGCCTCAAAAAAAATTATTTTAAAAAATGTAGTGCATAAAAGTTCATAGCAGCATTATTCTTAGTATCAAAAAGTAGAAACAAACAACATGCATCACCAAATTAATAGATAAAATAGGGAAATATCATTTGCCAACAAATGCTGTAACATGGAAGGTACATTCTATCACATGGAAGAGCTTTAGAAACATTACAGTCAGTGAAACCATGCAGTCACAAAACATCAAATGTTATATGATTGTATTTGTAAAGTGTCTAGAATGGAGAAATCCGTAGACACAAAGTAAATTAGTAATTGCCTAGGGCTGGGGGATGAAGGGGAGAAAGATTGCTAACGGAACCAATGGTATTTTGAGGTGGCAGTGAAGAAAATGTTCTAAACTTGTACAATGGTAGTGACTGCACAGCTCTGAAAGTATTAAAAATCACTTAATTATATAATTTTTTATTTTTTACTTTAAAGAGAAAAGAATCAAAACAAAATAATGAAAACAAAGCAGCACAAAAACAATAAAATAATACAGAATTTCAAAACAAGATGCAGGAAATTAACAATGGTGGTTGTATTACCTGTTGTTATCTTCAAACTAGTTGCTCAGATAACCAAATATAGGCATATGAGAATGATCAATTAATTAACTGTTCCTCTCAATAAACCAATAGAAATTAGAAGTACAATTATCTTATCTATCTTGTGTGTGTGTGTATTTTCCCCCTTCCTTCTATTTTTTTCTCCTTTCCCTCATCCCAGTTGTTCTTTCCTTTTGAGAAGTTTCTTTCCCTTTCACAATATCTGTTGTACCTTTCAGATTTTATTTACTCTTTCAGATTCTTACACTAGGGAGACAATACCATGTTTATACATACAGTTCTGCTTTATTTCACTTATGCATATGGTCTCTAATTGCATCTACTTACCTATAAAAGCCTTGAGTTTATCTTTCTTTGTAGGTAAGTAATACTCCATGCATAAAAATACCACAACTTTTTTATCCATTCCTCAGTTGATGAGCATTTGGGTTGCTTCCAAGGTTTAGCTATTACAAATTGTGCTGCCATAAACATGGGTGCACACATATTGCTGTGATGATTTTTTTAATTCTTCTGGGGAGATACCCAGAAGCAGAATAGCTGGATTGAATAAAACCTCTAATCCTAGTTTTTTTGAGGGATCTCCACACTGATTTTCACAGTGGTTGTACCAGTCTATACTTGCAACAAGAGTGGAGAAGTGTTTCTTTTGCTTTTTTAAACATTTATTTTGTTGTTGTTGTTGTTGTTTTCGTACTGGGAATCGAACACAGGATCTTGTACTTACCAGGCAGGCTCTCCACTGAGCTATATCACCAGCCTTGGTTGATTTCTTGATAATAGCTATTCTTACTGGGGTGATATGGAATCTTTGTGTTGTTTTAATTTGCATTCCTCAAATAACTAATGATGTTGACAATTTTTTCATATATTTACTTGCCATTTATATTTCTTCATCCAAGAAGTGTGTATTCATCTCAGATGCCCATTTTTGGATTGAGTCTTTGAATTTTGGGGGCCTGATTTTTAAAATTCTGTATATATTCTAGATAGAAGTCCTTTGTCTGAGGGACAATTGGCTAAAATTTTTTCCCAGTTTGTTGGTTTTCTTTTTACTCTGTTGGTGATTTCTTTTGATGGGCAAAAAATTTTCAATAAAATGAGATACTAGTTGTTGAATCTTTGAAGTATTTCCTGTGCAGTTTGGTTTTTGTTCATGAACTCTTTGCCTACCCCTATGTCTTCTAGAGTAGATTTAGTGTTCTTGTTTTAATGTTTAGATTTTTGATCCATTTTGACTTTAGTTTATGATAAGATAACGTGGATCTAATTTTAGTCTTCAGCATGTACAGAGTCAGTTTTTCCAGCACCATTTATTAAAGAGGTTATCTTTCTTCCAGTGAACATGTTTGGCCCCTTTGTCAAAGATAAAATGACTGAGTGTGTTTGTACTTGTGTCTGCATCTTCTAATCTGTTCCACTGATCATCAGGTCTGTCTTTTTGCTAGTAACATGCACATTTTATCACAGTAGCTTTGTAGTATAATTTCAAGTCAGGGATTATGATTCCTTCTGCCTTGCTTTAGTTGCTCAGGATTGTTTTTGCTGTTCTACATCTCTTCTGGTTTCAGATGAATTTTAGGGATGTTTCCTCTATATCTGTGATGTATACTAATGGTATTTTGCTCAGGACTGCATTGAATCTGTATAATAATTTTGGGAGTATGGCCATTCTCACTATGTTCATTCCTCCTATTCATGAGCAATGAATATCTTTCCATTTTCTGAAATCCTCTTCAATCTCTTTTTTCAGAGTATTGGAATTTTCACTATATAGATCTTTTATTTTGTATGTTAGATTGATTCCCAAGTATTTTTTGTTTTTTGGATGCTATTGTGAAATGTGGGGTTGCCCTAATTTCTCTCTCATAGTGTTTGTTGTTTGTGTACAGGAATGCTATTGATTTTTGAGTGTTGACTTTGTATCCAGGTACACTGCTAAATTTAGTTATTAAATCTAGAAGTCTTTTGGTGGATTTTTCAGGTCTTGTATGTAGAGAATCATGTCATCTGCTAATAATGATAATTTCCTTCTTCCTTTCCAATCCTTATTCCTTTTATTTCTCACTGTTGTCTAATTGCTTAGGGTAATGTTTCCAGAACTATATTGAATAGGAGTGGTGACGGTGGACATCCTTGTCGTAGTCCTGATTTTAAAGTGAAACCTTTCAGTTTTTGTCCATTTAGTATGATGTTGGCTGTTGGTTTATCATAGATGGCTTTTATTAGATTGAGGTAATGACCATCTATTCTGATTTTTGGTAGGGTTTTTACCATAAATGAGTGTTGGATGTTGTCAAAAGTTGTTTTGCATCTATTGAGATGATCATGTGATTTTTTTTTGTCTTTGGCTCCATTGATATTGTGTATTACATTTACTGATTTGAATATATAGAAACATCCCTGCATTTCTGATATGAATCCCACTTGACCATGGTGTATACTCTTCCTGATGATTTGCTGCATTCTGTTTGCTAGTACCTTGCTGAGGATTTTTGTGTCTATTTCAATTCCTTTGCATTTACTTAAGCATGTTCTATGTGCTAGTATATAGTCTATTTTAGAGAACATCCTGTGTGCAGCTGAGATGAATGTGTATTCTGATGTTGTTCGGTAGAACACTCTACAAATGTCTACTAAGTCCATTTGTTCGCAAGTTTGGTTTAATTCTGTTCTTTGCTGATTTTTTTGTCTAGTTGATCTAGCTCTTTGTGAGAATGGGATGTTAAAGTCCCCCATTACAATTGTCTAATTGCTTATTTGATTTTTCATGTCTGTTAAAATTTGTCTTATATAGTTAGGTTCTTCTACATTTGATGCATATATATTTATGATTATTATCTCTTCCTCTTGCAGTTTTCCCTTGACAAGTATGTAGTGACCTTCTTTATCTCTTTTGATCATCCTTGGTTTGAAATTCACATTGTCTGCAAACAGAATAGCTACCTTTGCTTTTTCCTGGGTTCTTGTTGCATGGAGTATTGTTTTCCCTCCTTTGATTTTCAGTCTATGAATTTCCTTTTGAGTTAAATGTGTTTCTTGTATATAGCATATTGTTGGCTTTTGTTTCTTGATCCACTCTGCATGTCTGCTTCTTTTGATTGGTGAATTGAAGCCATTTACATTAATGGTTACTACTGATATGTATTGCCTTATCTTTGTCATGTGCATTTCCCACTGTTGGTTCCCTACTTTTGCCCTCTGTTTAATTGCCTGCCC